CGGTGCTTTAAAGGCTCAAAACACCGTGCCCGGTGTGGAGAGTGGGGAAGGAGGGACTGTGGCTGGGGCGCTGTGGGAGATGGCTGAGTGAGAGACCCTAATGGTGTGCTGTGCCTGTGAACTTCTGCTTGTGGCTGTGACTCCTTTGTTTTTAAACATTTAATCCTGCTGAGGAGCATATACATGTCGCTTTAGTGGGTTCATAAACTCGTTGTCCTGGAGAAACCTTGTACAATAGCTGTGTTGGAGTTGCGTAGGCTTGCTGTGTGCTAATAGGAAGAGACATTTAACCTTGACTGAAGTCGCCTCGCTTGAAGGCTGGTGGGACATCTGCAGAGAGGAGTCAACTGTGCCTTGTGTCCTATGGGGGTCACAGCTGGAGATGGGGTGCCAAATGGTGGCCTTGGGGGAGGGCATGAGCTGAGGGGTCCAAGGGGTGTCTGTCTCAAAAACCTTGACCAATGCGCATGGGGTCATGTCTGGCAAAAAGGAGTAAGGAGGAACGTAACCCCGTGTTCTTTGGCATCAGTGGGTTTGCCTTCTGTGTGTGTTCTCGGCTTTTACAGGGGGCTCTCAGAACTTTGGGGTGTCGGGCTTTGCCCACTTGGTAGGGGTTGAGCACGGGGCTTCGATGTGCTGAAACATACGCCAGCTTATAGCAGTTGTGTGCCTGCTCCAGGTGCAGGATGCCGTGCGGTGGGTGGGAAGGTAGGCTTCTCCAGCGCCATCCACCTTCTGCACCCAAAAGGGAAATGCTTATGAGAGATGTAGGTGACACTTGCAAGTTGTATCCATCGTGCATGCTTCAGCTGCGCTGACACTTGGAGATGGGACATATGATAAATGGGCACAGCAGGGCTGGAGCAAGTTTGGTACCTGGCAGTCGGGCCATAGCAGGCCATCTTTGTTAGGAACAGACATGATAGTAAGCTTTTTTCCCAATCTGTAGTCACTACAGAGTAGCTATCATCTCTAAAGCTTTACAGACAAATAACTAAAAGATTTGAACCTGACACTTTAAAGTTTTTAAAAGCCAGAAAGCATCTCCTTTTATTGGAAAGGAAATTTGAGACTCAGTTACTTTGCTTTAAAAGGTCCCAGGCTGGCGGTTCAAGCAGGGGAAACGCTGGCCCTCGTTTACCGTGGTTCCTGAGCAACTAGCACAGTCTTCTCCCCATTTTACACCTTGCCCAGACCTGAAGGGGTTACGTTTTAAAATGAATAATGACTAAATTTATTCGTCATGGACAAACGATGACAGCTGTTGAGATGCTCCTGTTAGCGCTTCCCAGGGGATAAAGTCAGGCTGGTTCCTGGTGCAAGCCAGCCCAGCCAGGCAGACTCAGCTCGTCTTCATCCCGGATTATTTGTCCCGGGTTCCCCTCGCTAGCGGGGAATTTCCTTCCTAGAAGTGAACCGAAGTTTCCTGGGCTGCAGTGATGAGAATCCCCCAGAGCTGCAGTCGTAGAGAGAGGACTGAAGCCGTAGCTGTTTAAATCCACGTGTGAAGACAGCATGCTTAATGAATACGAGGGGCGATGATTGATTATGTTCGGGGCTGAAAGCCGCGGCGCTCTGTGAAGCACTGTTACATCTGGGCACGCTATGGAAAATATGAAGGAATGTTGAGGAAGCTTATTTGCAGAAGGATATGTACTTGTAAGCAATTTTTTTTTTTTCTTCTTAAATAATGTAAAGGAATTGAAAAATACGAAGCGCATTGTGTTCTCTGTTTCTCCGAGACAGCAGAGTGGTGAGCAGACAAAGGCCTCTTAGAAGGGCATGTCGCTGACAGAGAGCGCTATGTGGCCCCTATAAACGGGCACTGGGGGGTCTTGGGGTGGGAGGACTTCAATGGTTATTTAATGTTAGAACGCGGCACCGATTCCGCTTCAGTGCACCTCTGCTGGAGTCACGAGAGTTACACCCGTGCTGAATCCACCGCCTTGTGATTTGCAGATAGGCTGCAAAAAATATGATGTAGTTTTGTTTTTCTCTTATTTTATCTACTCCCATGTTCACGTTTCTTTCTGTTCTTTGTTTCGCTTTCTGTCCTGCACACGTGCTGCTGGAAGACTTGATGTGCAGTTCTGAATGTGGTGCTGTCATCCTGCCCTGCTCAGATGAGAAATGCTGTTGGGTTATTGAAGGGATATTCTGATTTGATAAATATGTAATGCTTAGTTTGTAGACTTAACGAACTGGAAGATATGACATGAATTCAAACATACCCAAAACGGTGGGCTAGCTGGGTGGTGTTTTTAGTATTGTTGTTTTTGCTAATGCTTAGAAAAGCCTGTTTTAAATGAAAATGATAGGTTTTTTTAATTTATAAAATGCTACAGGAGTGTGATCTTTTTAATATCTGTTTTTCTGCATTTTTATATGAAATATAAATATGAAATAGCAAACCACACCCTCTTCTTCTTTCAGAGGGGTCAGGCTTTAAAAATGCAGATACAAGAGGAAGTGAGTTAACTAAGACTGCATCTAGATGGCCTGAAGTGCAGCCGATGGAGAATTTTTATTACCAGATGAAAGTGGTTTTGAAGTAGTAAAATATCTTTTGTTTTGAGACTGACTTGACTGGTGTTATATGTGTGTGTGTGTATATATATATATATGAGACAGATAATCATTTGATTAATATCTATATAGGAGCTTTTGAAATAAATGCAATTGGGGAAAATTTTGCTCAGCAGTTTTGTTACTCAAGGTCTACACAAGTTTCTCACTTAAACCCCTTCTAGCAGCTTCAGAAATTACATGTTTTAAATTCTGTTTTGATCTGCTAAGACCTCCTGTGCAACTCTCACCAAATAACGTTTTTGAAATAATTCCTGTTTGAACTAGACTGTATCTTTCAGGAAAAAAAATTCAATCTTGATTTTTCATAACTGTCTGTGATAGAACTTGCTGGGTGACACAGCTCCTTACCTCGCAGGAAGTCAGTCCTGTGACTCTTACAAAAGATGGGGTGGGGAGGGAGGAGAAAAAAGCAATTCAGAGTTTAATTTGGTTTTAGCCTCCAGCCAGTGGCATTGTTGTATATTTTTCTGTTAGGTGAGAAACAATATTAATAAATCACTGGAAAACTACATTAATAAATCTTCAGTTGCTGTGTTAACACAGAATATAATCAAGCAACTTGTTAAGAATCTGGCCAGGCTAAACAGTCCCCTGCAGTGAATTTTTGTTTAATTTAATTAAAAACATATTTTCCATTTCTTGAATCATTCTCATGGTCCTTCCCTGAGCTCTTTTCAAATTATTTTTGAATTACATGTGTCAGAACATTACCAGTGTCAACAGGGAGGTAGCACGGTCTCCATGGCTGCCTTAGGGCACTGTGAAAGAGACAGCCCACATCCTGAACTCGGCTTACGTTCTTCTTAGCTGTGTGACCTTAATTTGTTGATGTTAAAGTTCGTACGTTCACTTTTGCCTGAACTACAGTCCAAGTACTGTTATTACCCCATTAGATGTTACTTTTTTCCCTAGCCCTTTCCTGTCTTCCAAGACTTCTTGAAATTAAGGGGGGGGGGATGTCCTTGGCCACCTTTCTTAACTCCTTGGATGCTGCTGTCTACCTGCCATTTCAGTGCTGTGACTGAAGTATGGCATCGTGTGCATGGGTGCATGTTGGAAATGTGGTTTTTAGGTTTTCAGATGATCTGTGAGAGTTCTCCTGTGTCCATCTGCTAACAAGCCAGTACCACTTTGGGCATGGAAAACTCCTTAAGGCCACTGGGCTGAGGACAACACAGTCTTTTCTTGCAGTTCGTTTGTCTCCCCTAGAATATGTTTGTACTGTTACCAGTTTATTTTCTTACTTTCAGAAAGCTCAACCTGTGTTGAATTTCACTCATTAGTGTCTAACTAGGAGCCTGTATTTGTTACTAGTTGTTCCCAGCTGCTTTGAATAGGGGTGGATTCAAGCACCTGCTTGAGTTTTTACCAGGGAAGTTCTGCGAAGGCAATGTTCCCAAACCGGTGGAGAGTGGGTGCGTACCTTGGACTGTTGGAGAGCGATTGATGTGAAGCAGGTCTCAAATCTTGAATGAAGTGTTAGTGTGGAGAAGCTAAGTGATGGGGACTGAGGTGGCTTTTTGGCCTCGATAAATAATGCGCCCCATCTATATTGGCTGTCCACACGCTTTGTCACCTTTCAACCTAAGGCCGGTTTTTAAAGTGGATTAGCTAATCTGTGTGAAACTGCAGTATAAGCGCTCCTCTGGAATTGAAGTGACCTTCACTGAGAATCAAAGTGACTGTAATTCATTTTAGGTTAATTTATGTTCATGTTTGGAGGTAGAGGCTGCAGTTCCCTTGAATGTACACAGAAGGCTCAAGAAGTTTTAATACACCTTATATTTACGGTTTTTATGAATTTGGGGAAACTTCTGTTTCCTTGTAAAGAATCTCTGGGGATCATTTAAAAAGTTAAAGTGGATCTGTAGCTCTGGGTGGGTCTGTGATTAATGATCTGTGGTTTATCAACAGCATGGGTGTTGCCATGCAATCTTTCCTGGGTTACCCTGTTTATTCTCGGTCTGGTGCGGGCAGTTAGGGTGAAACAGGGCAGCCTGTGCTGCCTCATCTCCTCCACACATGGATCTTGCATTTGCTCACGGTCTTGGTTTCACTACAGCCCATGACAAAAGAACTCTGAGAGGCATAAACATCAGAGGTACAGACCGCAGACACCTCAAGTATTATCTGTGGCTTGCATCATTCTGCTGTAGATTTGAAGTTTTTTCTTTTTATCTGAATGCATTTATTGAAAGGGTTTATAATATAGTGGCTGCAATAGCAAAAGATTGCGTTCAGTGGCCTGGTGGTCATTTGTGAATAACCAGATTTCTAGCATGAAGACACTGCTGAGATGAGAGCTGGCAGAGCAGACCTGAACATGCAGCATGTTTGATACCATGTGGGCATGTTCCTCGGGACATCTCTTTGCTTCATCGGACTTACAGCTGAGTGTGCTTTTTTGGCAGATAAAATTTTTGACGATGAAGACTCTGTGGATGGGAACAGACCTTCCTCAGCTAGCTCCTCTACATCTTCAAAGGCCCCTGCAAACTCACGCAGAGTTGGGATGGGAACTACCCGCAGACTTGGATCTGCAGCTCTGGGCTCCAAGTCTTCAAGTAAGCCAATACCATATATGAATTGACCTTTATTTATAGTGTTTGTGCTCAAGCTTATTGCAGGGATTTCCAGACTGGCCCCCAGAACCCAGTAACAAATTTTCCCCTGTGAAATCATTACGTGTACACTGTCTGCATGCCACGACCCAGCTTTGGTAGGATGAATGTCCAAGCAGTCCCCACATCACTATAATGCGTTTTGCACTGGTGAAAGGTTGGACCTGTGTGGTTGTGCAGGGAGGGCTGTGAGTAAATCACATCCATGTCGCAGTGTGTGGATTTTTGCCTTTATAGCTGCGGCTGAACTGAGGCAGGTTGCTTACAGCTACATGCTAAACTTCAGCCTGTGGAATCTAAAACTGACACATTGGCTTTCGTCTAAGACCTTTGGACATTGCTGATAATGAAGGTGCAGAAAGAAAACTGAGAATAATTCTGAATGTGAGCAATAATTATACATGTGATTTTAATTCTACACATGACCTACAGAAAGGGAGAAAGTTCTCTATATCAGACAGTCTCTGATTAGAATTCTGAAGACTATTTATCATCTTTATCATTTGTCTGTTTGTGCATCTGTCAGATCTGCACTTTCATCTATTATAGATAGGATTAAATCCTTTAAAATAAAACCTCACATATAATTAAAATAAATATTCCCTTTCATCTTTCAGACTCTGTTCCCTAACTGTTGAGTGACTACTGTAATGACTTCCCTAATGTGCCCTCTGTGCCTAGGAGTTGAAGGACGCTGTGAATGTCTGCTCTGTGTCTGGCATTGAATTTCCCTGTCTCTGCTTTCATTACGTCTGCAGCACTCTGAGGCTGCATGGATAGTGAACTTTCTCCTGATTAGGTGCCTTGATAGCTGGTGGTTTCTTAATTGATTGTCTTGTTCATAAGAAGATTGAAAAGGGTCTTTCATTTGTATGTCAGCAGCCAAAGAGGGAGCAGGTGCTGTGGATGAAGAAGACTTCATTAAGGCATTTGAAGATGTCCCAACAGTTCAGGTAAGCAGAATTACACGTTAAAACACACAGTGCTAAAAAGCAGAAGATGGATATAGGATCTAGCCGTAATCACTGGCAAGCTGTTCTTCATTGTGAAGTTGACAAATCTTCTTTTAGGGGAAGTCAAGTTGGAAGGAGGCAAGTTTGAAATGGGGATATCTGCCAGGAGTTTGTAAGAAACCATGGGGGGGGAGGGGGAGTGGGAGGGTTGTGATAGAGGTGTCACAGGTGGACATGGAGCTGGAGTTGGATGTGCATGCTGTATGGTGCAGTCTGGTCAAACAAAAACTTACGGCTGCAGAAGTCTCTTTACATTTCATCTGTACCATCTGGGAACTGAAAGCAATGAAGGTGACTTGTGTCTCCAAGATTGCTGCTGTTGTGAGTGCGACAACTGGACAGTTCAAGTCTGATGAAAGATTTAGCTGGATAACTGAGATGTGTCATGTATCCCCTCTCCTTTACCAGAGCTTCATTTCTGGGACAGCTGAACAGCACGTGTATCCA